GGTCCGGTGTATCCTCCGCCCTCATCTTCCCCTTCCCCCGTCCTATAAGCAGGGATGCAGCAGACATCACAGCCAGCAACACAGCATTTACAATAGTCATGTGCCAATCAGCATGGTTTCAGGAATGAGATTTTCCCAAGGAAAGACTTCCCTTGTAAGGGCATGGAGCTCTTTTTAGGTCGAGGACTGATAAAGCTTGCAAAGGCCTCAGATTCAAGAGTGTTTTCCCCCTTGTACACGTGCTAGTGCAAATACTCTACACAGTACAAAGGGACCGTATTCCCCTTCAGTTTCCACTTCTGTTCCTTTGCTGCAGCCATAATTTGAAAAGGAAATCTTACCCCCCTCCTAAAAGTGGCCGAGATCTCAGGCTGAAGCATCCTGCTGCACCACACACACTCCAGTGCATGGAGTAGCCACCACTGAACAGCAAGTCTGACACATGCTTGACCAATATAAACCAGCTAACCGCATATTCTTCAGCTTGGACTGATGACTCCTGGAACAGGTGGCAGAAGGGGGGAGAAAGTGAGAGAAAGAGATTAATCTATTGATAGAGATATAGAGCCATATCTATTTATATAGAGGCACCAGATAAAGTAACTATTAAAAATTTCATCCCATGTTCCTCCTAGATGGTCATTTGGAATAGCAAGTTAACTTCCAAGGTCTTATTCTTTCCTTGCAGAGGTTTTTCTGTGTTTATTGAATGTGAAGAGGGCATTAATTAGTTTATTATCACCACCTGACAAAGCCACTAAGAATGTCGTCTTAAGTGCTTGTATCTTGCTGAGAGATCTGAAGGCACAGCAGTATTGGACAAGAGATTGACATGGATCTTGACTGTCTAAAACTATCCTCTGAGACTGTCAAGGTGGGCCTGGCATTGGTGATGAGAGCATATTCCACCAGTGCTCCAGCTGCTTCTGTAGAAACTCAATATAATGCTGTCATAAGCCAGCATTTCCCAAAGTGTGGCGTGCACTCCCTGGGGTGGGAGGCTTGCAAATCACAGGTACTGATTGCGCTGATTCCACCTGTTCATGTACCTCACCTGTCCCCAGCCTCCCCACACATGCACATGTTCTACTACCACTGCTCGTGTTTGTTTTTTTTAAACCCAAGACTTCCTTTGTGCATATATATAAATTGCTGCACAGATTGAATATATTGCAATATTTATTTATTTATTTATTTACTTCAGAGGAGATCAGCCAGAAAACTTCAGTGTATCCAGTTATCTCTGCAACTATCTCCCTGTCAGAACTGACTGCTGCTTTCCAGCAACCTAATCAAGATGCTTCCAAACCTGCTATGGACACAGGAAGGGCGAGGCTGCATGGGACCCCTTCCCCTTCCCATTCACCATCTGCTCTCAGCAGAAGAGGAGCAAGTGAAACTCTGACTGAAAGCACTTTACCTGACCCATGTAGTAGTTCCCTTCCAAATCAGTCATTTGCTTTAGAAACATCATTAGATAAAGACTCCAAGCCATCAGAAGAACAGCCCGAGCAACAGGCAGAAACTACTCTTGTGTCCGCAGAAAGCAAAGGAAACAGGAGAAGGAAAAGGCTAAGAAAGAAGAAAACTCTCCGTGCAGCCCACATACCTGAGAATAGTGACACTGAACAGGATGTAATTGACTCTAAACCTGTTAGGAAGGTGAAGGTTGGGAAGGGACCCAAAGGTGAAAAAGTTACTACGTCCACGCCTCCAAAACAAGAGGATGAAGGCACTACTCAAGAAGCAGAGAGAAACAAAGATGAAAATGACAGTGATATTTCTCTTGAATTAGTGGAAATCACAAATCCCCAGTTTGAAGTGGTGGCCATAGGTTCATCAGAGTCAGGAAATGAAAAACCAGACAGTCCATCCAAAAGGGACTCCTGCGGGCAAGCATTAATGGAGGCATCTCATTCTGGTTATGATGAAGTGAGTTCCACTAGTGAAATTGGCACAAATTGCAAAGATGGTGTTAAGAGAAGGTGAGAGAATAAATCAAGCCAGACTTGCATAAAATATTTGTTTTCTATAATAGTTAGTCAGCACCTCCCCTTTTTTTTCCTTGTGCAAAAATCTTAATGTGGGTTCCTGGGGGCAAATTTGTTGTTCACATCAGTCTCAGCACTGAAGTCAAGGACTATTTATCCCTTTACATGCCACAAATTGAATTGGTTGCTTCATGCACCATTCCATAGTAATTTCTCCAGAATCTTTTTCTATAGGAGCTTTG